AGCCTAAGGACAGGTGTGGAGCAGGGAGACAGGTCCTTAGGTTACTTGGACTGTAGATACCATGATTTGGAGGAGGTTCTTGTCCTAAGCAAAGAGATTTGCACCCTGTCCTTCTTGGAGACTTGAAAGCTCCTCATCACCTTTAATGTGCAGAGCCTGTATGAGAAACCCTGAAGACAGCAAATCCAAGCAGACATCTGCAGCTAGGCTCCTGGGGAGTGTCTCATCTGCATTTCACCATGTCAGAGAAACACGTGACTGGAGAAAAAGGCTGGTATCCACAGAACCAGCACCGCTCTGGGAGAGAGGGGATGGTGTCTACCTTCTCCAGGAGTGTATCAGGACAGGGAAGATGATGACCTTGGTTCTGTGGTAGATGACAGAGTTTGGTAGCTCCTTGGAAGATAAATTCCAGACAAAATCTCTCTTCTTCAGAGATGTTTACCTGGCCACAGAAGAGACTCTGCTTGACCAAAGGAGTTTGTGGCACCTCTGATGGGCCCTAGAAGTATGTTTCTCTCCCTGACCCCACTTTTCATTTCAGCAGTCTCCAAGAAGAGAGACTAGTTACATCCTAGCTGACTGTCCCAGATAAAAGGGCAGGATCCCCCCTGGATTTCTGTGGAAAGCACTGTGCTGTGCTTTCCAAAGGGAAAGATACAGCTATGGCAAGGGGAAAAGGTGGCTGCAGTGGGGAGGGGATGATGGTGACCTTTTTCTCTGGAGAGTGAGAGGACTGAATTGGTGGCATGCAGCACCCATCCTGGTGCTTCAGCTCTGGCATTTCTCTGGCAGGTAGGAGATTTTATCATCTCCTTGTCCACATGCTTGTTCTCAGTCTACCTGGGTCAAGCGCTAGTGTGGGTATGGTGATGGATTGCTTCCCATCCTGTGGAGCCCAAGTGGAGGTCCCAAGCTTCAGAGCATGCTCTGAAGATTCACAGCATGCTTTGCTGGAGCAGATCCAGACCTCTGCCTGGTTCCCCTTTCCCTACAGTCACTCACAGCTGTGATGCAATGGTCTTGAGCAATGAGCAGACAGCAGCCTCCAGCTTTCCTGGGTGGGTCCCAGGATCTTACCCACAATTTGGGCAGAATGTCAGAGTTCAAGAAGAGTTTGCTGATGATGGTGACTTTCCTTTTGAGAAAAGTAACTTCCTTTTCTGACTGTATGTTGCTGGCAGCCAGATGCATGATGAGGGCAGAACTTTCGTGGGATGGTGGCTAAGTTGAGGGAGCAGCTGACAAGGGGGTAGCTCTGAGGTTGGGGTCCCACTGGACTCCTATGCTTGGAGAAGGTTGGAGAATAGAACATGGTGGGGGGAAAGGGTAAATCTCCTCCATGGGCTCTGTTCTTGCGCTTAGCAGGCTTGGGCGTGTCTGTCCTGCCTATCTGCAGCATGTTGCCTCCTCCAGACCAGCATCCTGGAAGCCAAACAGTGACTTTGCCCCCATAGAACAAGCCTTGCTGGCCTTGCTCAGGTAAATTTATCAGCAGCTTCAGCAGCAGTTTTGCTGGGGTGAGGGCCTGGCTGCGATTTTGATGGACCAGCTGACAGTTCATTGGGAAAATATGTTTGTAGCAATTGCTGTCTGTCACCTTGGGGTGGGATGGACGGTTGGGAAGGATGTGTTTGTATAACTACTGGGCTTAAGGAACCAGCTTGACCTGGGTGCTCACCATTGTTTTACCATTGTTTTCTGGACAAAGATCTGTGCTGTCATCAACGTGTGGGGGCTGACTGCTTCAGCCTCATTTATTTCTTTGGTGGTAGAAGTGTGGCAGTTCAGCTCCTCTTCTGGAAGAGAAGTGTGGTCACTGCCTTCCCCTGACTGCCACCCACGAGCCACCATGACATCTCTTTCTACCCTCACCCTCTCCCACCATTACCTGCCCTGTCTGCTGTTTGCTGACTTTGGTTCTCATTCTTTTTCTTTTCTGTACTGTGCTAATTGCATACTTTGGGAGTGAAGCTGTGACTCCAAGAGCATCCAAAGGAGACAAGATAGGGAAGAGCTAATGCTGCCGCCACAGGAATTGCATGTTGCAGGTGTTGATCTATAGATCCTGCCAACAAATAAGCCACCTTTCTAGAACTGTAAGTGGCAGTGGAAGGCCTCAGCAAATAAATGCTCCACTGGATGGGAAAGGGGAATTGGCAAGTCCCTGCAAGAGGATATAAAATCTGCAACTAGCATCTAGCTCAGGAAGGAGGATTTTATGATGAAAGGGGTAAAGTATGGGATGGGAGGGCGCTTATCAGCTGGGGTTTCAGCATGGAAGTAATTTCTGACAATGCTGTTAATAATGAAGCTCTTCATCTCTGGGTTGGTCTCTGGCTAGCTTCTGTACAGCCATCCAGAAATGCAGTAGCTTATCTGTGTTGTGCTCCTCAAGGAACTGCTTGAAGAACTGCAAGCGGTCAGGGTTGTGCAGTATTTTCATTAAGTGCCTCTAGAGGAGGAATCACCAGGAGATGTGATCTCTGTGCCACCAGTGACCTGGAAAATACCCAGGACCTCTGTGCTTGCTTTTCCCACAAGAAAGACACATCTGAAGAAGAGCTAGAAATATGTGGATAAGTGGTGTGTGGGATCTGTAAACAGACGGGCCAGCAAAGGTACCAGTAGAGCACAGCCTCCCTTGTCTGTCTTACCCATAGAATTGTTTAGGTTTGGAAAGACTTTAAAGGTCATCATCCACTGAGCCACTGGGAATCCAGGGAGGGAATTCTTTTGACAAGCTGATTCTTTTCTGCTATAGGTGCACCTGTCAAACAGCTTTGCTTGCCATATATCCAAAGGAACTGGTCTCAGCCTGAAGAGGAGGCTGAGGCTTTAGGGAGTCAAGCAGAAGGCAGGACTTTGGGACTGTGATGGACACCTCAGAATCTGCAAGTGAACTGAGCAGCCCCAGAGAGACCAGGGGAGGGAGGAAGGTAAGGAGGGGGCACGTGGAAGGACTAGTGGGAGAAGGAGCCTGTGCTCTTCTCTCACTGAGAATAAACAACAGTTTGCCTCTGAATGGCAGAGGGCTTCATGCATTTGGCCAGGAAGGGGGTGTTCTGGAGTGGAAAACCTTCACCTGTTGCAGCTGGTATATCAGGAGATTATCGACAGATGCAAAGCCAGAGGATGGCAACATTGAAAAGATTCAGCAGAGTTTTGGAAAACCAGAGCTCAGAGTGGACTGGGATTTCAGGTCATTTATGAGGTTAGAAAGACCTTCTTTGAAGTTCAGTGGATTGGGTTAAATATTTGCTTTAAGCGTGGCTCCTGAGACTGACTTTCACAAGTAACAATAATAGCTGCTCTTACTTGGGATTTGTCCTGGTTACCATTTATATCCCTGTGTGGAGCTGCAAGGACTCATGCCTGGAGTATTCCCAGGAGGTGAAACATGAGCCATGTGGACATTCATGTGGTCAGTGAGTATAGAGATTTAAGTTGTGGTCACAGGATGATTCTGAATGATTTTTCTGGGAATCTGAGAGCTGCCCAGCTGTAGTACAGGTGGCATGCCAGAGTGTGATTGAGGATGAATTGCATGAGGCAGGCAGAAGATGTGAGAAATAAATCTGAACTATATTGTGTGTGGGGGGTTGTTAAAATAGTTTTCTTCTTTCCTTGGTAACTACAGTTCAGACCCATGGGCCACTTGTGCCTACATCTGAGACGGCCCAATGAGGAAGCAAGGGAGCAGTGACACTACAAGAAAGCACTGGGGAAAATCTGCTTCCTGAAAGAGTGGAAGTAGCAAAAACCAGCAAAGCCCTATGCTGCAAGGTGCCAGACCTGAATCTTCTAGATGGGTTATCTACTAGAGCAGAAGCAGACTTCATTATGTTTGATTTGTTTTTTCTCACAGGAAGAGTCCTCTTCTTTTTGCTCTTGTGTTCAACAGCTGTGTGGACAGAACAGGGTTGGCTGCTTCCTCAAATCACAGCCAGAGCCTGCTCACAACTGGCCACAGGGCAAAGGACCCCAGAGCCACCATGCTGTTGTCTGCATGGTGAACCCAGTGCAGGAGACACTGGGTGTTGTGGGAACTCTTCACCTCGCATGTTTTGACCTCCTCAGCATCTGCTTCAGAGAAGCCCTCACACTTTCCCTGGCTGGATTAACACCCCAAAACACATCCCTTTCAAGGGTGGCTAGGCCTCTCCTTCTGGAGGTGTTCTACTAGATGATGGGATACAAACAAGGAAGACCCCTGCTGGTCCAGTCCCCTAAGGGTATGCTGGAGCACCTGCAAGGGCATAATGCTTGGAGCCCACCCTGCTACCAGCCTGCTCAAGACTGGAGTGAACAACTGATGGGCTTTTGAGACTTAAAAGCTCATTTTCCTTGCTTAGGCTATCCAAAGTCAGTGAAGGTTTCTGAACAGCCAGGTCATTTGACATCATCTTCTGGGAGTCTGCATCAGATAGAGAAAGGGGAATCATTCCTTCTGGCTTTAACAGCCCTTCAGAACTTGTTTTTAGTTATGTATTGTGATCATTATTCACCTTTTCTTTCCCCTTGTGTGTCTTGTTCCTATGATCTATCTGTGAAACTGCATTTCTCAGGTATGACTGAGGCCCCACAAGCTAACTGAGGGTTGCTACAGGTGATTGCTTTCACTCTCAGTGCACTGATAGGTGCCTAGAAACTTGATGTCATTCTCAAAAGATAATTTGAGAAGACAAATCTGAGGTGTCCCACCAGCATGACCACAGGAGAGTGTAAAGATGTGGAAATGGGGTGTGACAATGGCTGTCAGTGGCTTTGGATTTCAGTTGCTTTGCTGCAGATTTCATTTGACCTGGTGACACAGGCTAGAGCAGGGATGTAGTATTTGGTACCTCTGGTACTGGCAGGAGGGAATTTGGCCCATAGGTCACTGCCAAAGCTTGGATTACAGCTGACAGCTCCTATATACTCTCCCAATCTGCTCCATGATGTCCATGCCCAGTCAGCAATACAGTAATGCATCTGTGTGTTACAGGCGTTGGTCACCATGGGTGCACAAAGTATGCTTTATCAGTCCAAGTCAACATGAGCCACAGCAGAAATTCAGAGCCCCCTCTTACTGGTATTGCACAGGAGAGGTTCCACCTCTGCCTGGATGGAGCCCCCATTCTGGAGGTCCCGAGTGGCAATTAATTGCCAGTGCTTGGAGGAGAGACCTTCCAAATTCCTTGTGCCATGCAAGGCCTGGCTCAGCTTCAAGGACTGGTTTATCCGCTGGGACAGGAGGAAACGTTCTTCTTTCCCAACAGTATGGTCTTGCATCTCAGGCATCGGGACATTGCTCTGCAGAGACTACAGGGAGAAGAGAAGAGGCTGATTGCACAGAAGACATACCCCACCTGAGGAGCTGCTCCTGCACTGTGCCTCATGGGCTAGCTGCATGGTTTACTGTGCTTTAGAGTGCAAAGCTACCCAAGTTAGATCTCTGCTCTAGCTTTAAACTCTCAGGAATTTAAACTCTCAGGAGTTTAAAGCTCAGCACAGATCTTAACCGTATCTGTGCTGGCCTGCAGCTGGGTCATACTGGGGACATGCAGTAGGTCCTCCAGGTAGTCCAGACAACAGCTTGACAGTCAAGGCAGCAGCTTTCTTGAAGAGATCAGTGTCCACCCAGGAGGGCTGAAAACAACCCTGGGCAGACATAACCTCATCTGCCTTTTTGTTTGGCTGCTGTGTCTGGCTCTGGCCAGTGCCATGCAAGTGCCTCCACTGCCCACCACTGAGACCCTCCTGCAGGTTTTGGCCCTCCCCACTGGTAAGGAGTTTGCATGACTCGCCAAGCAGCAAGGTCAAAGTGGCTGGTTTTTGACCAAGATACATGCAGCTGAGAGCAAGCACCAATAATAACCTTGCTAAACCCCTGAGCAGTATCCCTGACATCACTGTGGTGACACCCAGGAGGAGTATGGCTTAGTGCCTGCAGAGAGCATGGTCTTGACACCTGCTGAAGTGCTAATTGCACTCCCAGACCAGCCCTGTGCTCTGAGCAGTGATTTCCTTGACAAGAGCTGCTTAAAAACCTGGACAGCTGATTAACTTAACAAGAGCATTTAATGAATCAGGGTCAGCAGCTGCCAGCTGACTTCCAAAATGCTCAGCTTTCGTTGACTGGGACACTAGCATTGCTGTGAGCCAGGTCTTTGGGGGCACTAGCCCTGACAGCCTCTCCTTACTATTTCCAGGATCATCTGCTGATTTTATGTTGCAGTTTGGTGAAAGGTCTAATAGTTTGAAGAACACTGTCTGCAGTGAGCAAGATTGCCTGTGTGGGTTATGTGGGGACCCAAACAGGTGGGATGCTTGGGGGTTTCTGTCTGCAAGGAGGCTTATGGGTGTAAGGCTGGTATTTAGGCTGTTAATAAACATGAGGTATTAGTGGGATTTCCATTGCCAGGAGGGGTAACAGTCCACGAAGATGAGTGCTTGTGTGACTGCTTTCTTAAATCATCCCTTTACACAGTGGAAAAAAATTCGTGGAAAACTTGAGTGTAGTTGAATCATAGGCTAACAGGCTGCATGACCTCTTCCCCCAGCCTGTTGGCCAGGTGCTGGTGTGTGGACAGGGGCATACACATGTGTGTTTGCATGAGTCACATTAATAGTAGTATTTGCTGCGGGCAAAGAAAAAAGGGAAGAGTTAATTCCCAGAAGTGAGGATCCGAGTGCATTGCCTGCTGCTGGTCTCACCTCTGCCTATCCTGAAAGACTGCATTTAAGTTTCTCCCTGCATTTGGGCCAGGTCATGGTCCATCTCAGGGGAGCTCTTCCAGGGTGTGCCTGAAGTGTTGTTGACTTACGGGATGCTGTGGTGGAAGAGCTAAGAATCACTGCTCCAGGCAGCCTGCACAAGGCAGGTTTTGCTGTATCACCCTGCAACAGCATTGGCTAGAGACACTGGGGGTGCTAGACCACTTCAGGTAATTCTTGGCTTCTCCTCCTTCTCTCTCCCACTTTTCATCTCCCCACTGGTGCCTGCTCACCCCGTGAGGGTGCCCATGTCCCCTCTGCATCGCCTTTACCATAAACTGAAGGAACGTTCTGTCATCATCAGCCAGAAATTCCTCGTAGAAGCCGCAGAGCACCTGCAGAGAAGCAAAGGTGAGCTATCCTCAGTCAGTGCTGCAGCAGCAATTGCCTACTGTACCCTGAGTTGCAGTGGTGATGCTGTGGGCAGGCTACACCTCACTTAGGTGCCCAGGACAGCTCAGCCAGGAGCTGTACATCCAGAGGAGTCCATTGGGCTGCTCAGAGGCTGCCCAGAAGGGCTTGGGTTTTAAATGTGTTTTACTTGTGTTGTGCTGGAACCACTAACTCAGATGTGAAAGTACGGCCTCTGCCCTGCCATCCCCCTGGCCCTTAGTGTATGCATCTAACAGCTAAGGTCACCATCTGCTAAATGACTTGCTCATCTCTGCTCTACTGCCCAGCAAGCCAGTGAGGATGCTCCTTTCCACTGACCTCGTGCATCCTGCTAACTGGTTCTAGTGCAAGGTGGCTTGTGTCTGTAAGTTTTTTCCTTTCCTAATATTTTTTTTTTCTCAAATACTTCTATTCTTATGAATGCCCAGAGCCCTCACACCAGCCCAGGGGTGCCAATGCCAGCTCTCCCTTCCAGCCTGACCACTGCCAGCACTGCTCTGTACCTTGCAAATCTCCTCCTGGGCTCTGAATATCCAGGGGGAGAATTCTCCAGACATCAGATGGTTCCGCAACTTCTTGAGGGTCCTGGTTTCCAAGGGAAGCTGCTGAACGGTTCCCTCCTCCAGGTAGGTCTTGCATATCTTCTCCCCAGTCAAATGACGCAGGAAGAAACTATTTTCTCTGCTGGGGTCCAGCACCGCAGACAGAAATTCCTCCAGGTCATGCCACAGGTCCAGGAGAAGAGTCTCCATGGGCCGGTCCTGGCATTTCAAGAAATCCCTGAAGGGCCGTCCTGCACAGGTCTCAGCGCTAAGGGCCCAAGGAAGAAGACTCAAGGTCTTGACTGGCTTTTCCAGGGATGGCAGCTGGGCAACGGGTGCAGAGGAACACAGGTTAGAGAGGACTTTCTCTTTAGAGAGGTCTTTCAGGTGATGAACCTGCTCTGCGTTAGGCCTGGGTAGTTCGTGACAGGTTGCTCCTCCTTTGCCTCCAAAGGCAGGGTCTGCAGGATGCTCTGACTGCTGTGGAATTGATTCCAAAGCATTCTTATCCAGAGTATATTCCTTTGTGCTCCCAGCTGGTCCTGGTTGCCTTTCTGGTTGCACCTGAAAACTGGGCATCTTCATTTCTTGGATGTCTCTTACTTCCCTGACTAGAGCCCAGATCTCCACTTTGGCCTTCTTGCTGCAGTAGGGCCCTGACAAACCCTGCCTTCTTTTAATATGCATCGTGAAGAGATTTTCTGAAAAGCCTGAGGGCTCCTCTGATTTGGCCCATAATAAACGCTCCTGATATTCCTGCAGCAAAGGCCAGCACAATTTCTCTTCCTTCATGCCCATCTTGCAGTGGATGAAGAATTTAGGGAGCCAGTAACTCTGAATCGTAAAAAGGGCCTGTTCCTGCATCTTGCTTAGGATCTCTCTCCTGGTGCTGATGGACTGAATGTGCCTGGCTTTCAGCAGTGGTCCTGAAATAGATACAGGTGATTATGATGGGGAGATGGCTCCATTCAGACCGCTCTCCAGCCAAAGAAAACTGGTGATGGTATCCCGTCTCCATGGGAGCATCCAGGAAAGGTCACCCCTCTGGCAGGGCACTGCTCATCCCTAGCTTCAATGCTTCATACCAGTGATGGTCCTGCAGAGAGTGATGACACTGGAGCCTTCACGCAGGTGAGTGGCTTTCAGCCTGTGGAGCAAGGACAGATAGAGATCCCTCTGCCTTTCATCTGACTCATCCATCCCCAGGAGCCTTTCAGTGGTGAGCCAGAAGTTGGTCAGTTCTTCGCCTATGGATCAGATAAGGGACAGGATTTGGAGGGAGTCCCTGAAAGCTCCACTGATGAGCGAAGCAGCTTGTGTCTTTTAAAAAAAGAAAGAAGGAAAGATTGCCTGGATGGCACAAGGGAACAGTGTAGAGAAGCACCATGGTTATATTTCCGTAGTATACACAGCCCATGCTGGAGCTCTGTTGCTGGCACATCTTCAACAGCTTTACTTGGGTTTGCAGTGTTCCCTGTCCCACTGGTCCTTACCCACTGCCCCCAGCTCTGTGCCTGTGTCCCACTGGGCAGCTTGCCAACAGGTGGGTGACAAGGGGCTGTGGAGCATCCTGTACCCACCTGCCATTCCTCGGATGAAGGCCCGAAAGTGCCACATGGCCTGGCTCCCACTGATGCACTTTTCCAGTAGCCACCAGTCAGCGCTTTGCCAGTTCAGCAGTTTTGCTGTCGGAGACAGTGCAGAGCACAGCATCAGGGGTTGCATGCGAAGAAAGCAGCAGTGTCCAAGAAAGCCCTCCAGGTCTCATCAGCACCCCCCAGAGGGCCTCCCTGACAGAGGCTGCTGTAGGGCAGCAGTGCTGTGAGGGACGATACCAGCAAATAGCACTGAAATGTGAGTTTCAGACAGGTTGTGGGGCACATGTGTGATGTTTGCAAGGGCAACCTGCTTATGTCGGTGATAGTCTGCCCAGCTATCATGCCTCTTCCCCTTGCAAACATCCATCTTTTTTGCTTGAGTTTGGGGCTTGCTCTCAACTTTCTTCAGCTTGATGTTCTACCCAACTGGAGGAGAAGCAGCAATGCACTCAGAAACAGCACAGGAGCAAGCTTCATTGACTTACTTGTTGTTTTTTTTTCAAATGAAAATCTGCATACCTGCTGCCACAGCTTGCTTTCCAGTGGCCTTCCCTTGTGTTGACATGTAAGCTGGCAAAGTAGTTGGCTCATTTTAGGGGTAAACCGAGCACAATCCGACTTGCTACTGGTAAGGCAAACCATGGCATAGGCCTGTTTTCGCAGTGCAGCATGCATCAGACAAGAAGCGTATTGTAACACAGTGTGAGAGCCCTGGGCAGCCCCACAGCAGCAAACCTGAAATGTCAGCACCTCAGTTTCCCATGCCCATGCTCTCCAGCCCTCCTCCACCCATGAACAGCACGGTAAACCCTGCTAAGCAGTTATCTCGGCTCAAATTCACAAAGGAAGGGCGCAGGGTAAAGCCCCATTCATCTTGTGGAAATCCTGGGCCCTGCAATGGCTTTTTAATCCAGAGCAGAGGCAGGACCCGCTGGGCAGGCACCAGGTGGTGACAGCCCCAGTGAGAGGAAGCCCAGCTGTGGTGAAGCCAATCCCATTTTCCTCTGCCGCGATGACTCACCTGCTTCCCCCGACCGAATGAAATCCAGAAGCTTCTGGCAGAGGACGAGGTGGAGGCAAAGGCTGGATTTGCAGAAGTGAGGCAGCCGGTGCTTTTCCAGCCAAGCCAGTAAATCCGGGGGGCTGGGATCCTGCATTGCAATCCCCACACCCAAGGAGAGGATTAGGCTGTGAGCAAGGAGCCGTCTCTTGCCTGGGGATTACGGTAAGTAAAGGGCTGCTGCTATGGCAGAAGGAGGCAGGGGAAGGTGCCCTGTTGTTAGATGTTGAGTGATGCAAGCCATCCCCCTGCTGAGAAAGAATGGGGATACTCAAGCTATAGTTCCTGCCCTCATCTCCATGAGCTCTGCCTGCAGACCATGGAGACTTGGGGCTGCGTGCAGCCTGCCCACCTTCCCAGAGCCCAGACAAGAAGGCACGGCAGCTTCCCAGCAGCACCAAGAGGAGCAGGTTCCTTTTGCTACGGGATCTGAGCACTGCAAATGATGCTTATGGCTGTGGGGAAGTGGGACGTCCATGGAGAGGGCTGAGCCAGTCTGAGAATCAACGGGACTTCACTCCTGATGAATTCAGGAGGGATATAGGGTGCAAAGGGATGATGCTTGCGTTGTCCTTCTCTGCCACCACATATGCTCTCAACTCCAGCTATCAGTGTTTATGGAGGGCTTTATAGACCCCATAAGCTGCACCAGGATTTTAAATGGCTTGTGCTTCTCCCAAAGCTTAAAGGGAAACTGATGCCTGTGTCTGAAATAATCCCCCACTGCATGAACAGGAGAGCCAGAGAGTGGCCTTTGTAATGAGAGGACAGCTTTTTCCTTCCCGTGCTCTCTGCCCTTCCTCCTTCTTCCCTCCTCACAAAGAGGCATTTTCTCACCAGATGGCTTGGCAGCTCTGGCCAGAGGTTCCACTGGCCTGTACTGCTGATGTAAATGGGTGTCTGGCCAAAAACCTGCATTGAAAGGAAAGAGGAGATCTGAAAGAGATGGAGGGTGGCATGGGAGCCCATAGCCCAGCTGTTCTATTTAGTTCTTACTACAGGGAAGGGCATGACCTTCCCTTTCAGACCTCTATCTCCAAGCTGAGGTGCTTAGGTTTCCCTCATTTTCCAGCCTGAATGCAGTGTATTCACAATTTTCCTGGGGCCTTTACCACAACAGAAGCTGGAAGTTCACATGAGAAGAACTCAAAAGGGCTTCATGGTGCAGAGTGTACTTACAGGAAGATTCAGAAATGTGTTGAAAAAGTCGACAAAAACATCATCTCTCAGCAGAAGCCTCATGTCCATGGAGGCTATGGTTGCTACAAGTGGGAGAAGAGAATGTTACCTGGGCTTTGTATTGCCAAGTGTGATATAAATATGAACCCAAGGATGAGTTTTGACAGGGACAGCTCTAGGGAATGTACAGTATGGGTTTGTCGTGTGCACACAGAGGAGAATTTGGACCTGGGACAGTCCTTGAAAATGGTTCTTAGTGCATCCATCTGCTCGGGGCGGGGGGGGGGGGGGGAACGGGGGGATGGACACGGACACAGGGTTTTGGAAAACACTGGGTTCAGCTGCATGCAGGAGCTGAAAAGTTCAAACAGCAGCTTCCTGAATAGCAAAGGTTCATGATTCATGGATGGGGACAAATGCAGTAGCATCTGTAGGACAGGAGAAAGGGGTTGCTGCGGTGGGAGGTGACAAACTCTACTCCTCCACTTTACCCAGCCACCAGGCATAACTGCCACCATGCAGAGAAACTGTGCTCTGGTGCTGCTGTTTCATCCCCACTGCCTTGGTGCCCCGAGTCCTCCTGTTCAGGTTTTTGTAGCAAATCACCCCAAATTAGCAGGCACCATCAGGCCGGGAGCAGGTTGTGCCTCTGGGTAGAGTGACAACCGCTGCAGACAGCCACCCCCTCCACCCAGGACATCAAGGCAGTGTGTCAGTACCACCCAACACCTCCTGCTATCCTGTGAAGTTTTACTCATGTCTGAAAGATCTAGGTGCAAAGGAGGGGTGGGCTGGAATCAGCCTACTGATGGGTGGGTGTCCTTGAAAATGTCCACTTAAGTGAAGGCACAGATGTGTCACAGGGAGAACACACACTTGGAAGGCTAACACTGCTTTTTCCCTGCTGTTCCCTTTGGGGCATGCTTAGAGAAGCTGAAGCCTTCAGCAAAGGTAACTCACCAGTGGCCATCATGATGTCGTGTCCCAGGGATGCGTTCTAGAATTCCACGCTTACCTAGTGAGTTCTCAGTGTGATTATTGAGGACTCTCAGAGGACTCTCGATGACCACAGAGCTCTCTGCACCTCCCTCTTTGTTGCCCTTCAGGGAAATACTGCTTTTGTAATCTCCAGCACTGCCAATGCATTTAGACAGTCCTGGAATTAAACCCTTCCCCTATCTCCACTTCCTGACTTCAAACCAGGTTCTGGGTAGTACCTCAGAACTGCATATGGTTACTACCAGGGCATCTGCTCAGGTAGTGATGGAAATTTCACGAGACCCCCCCATGTCTGCCCCAGACAGAGCGACTGGAGATTTCTTATTAGTCATCCTGCTTTATCAGATCTGGGCCTGAGACCCCAGTCTTGAAGACCTTCCAGTGGGAAGAAGAGAAAGAAAGAACAAACTGTGTCTCTCTTGAAGCAGCAGTGACCTATTTCCCTGGCCTGAGGAGGAATCTGCTCCCCAGGTGGGTATTTGTAATGCTGTGGTGTCAGGTTTTGGGCACCATCGTACCTGGGGTCTTTGATGTGCCTTGCAGCAGACAGGTGGGTGTGCTTGTCTGAGAGTCCTTCTGTGCTGTTGGTGGGAATGGGAAGGGGTCTGTGGTCTGTGGAGAGGGTGGAGCAGAGGTTTTGCGGCCTTTCCTATACTGGACATCTCTGGGTACTTGCCTAAGAGGTTGGCTGCAGGACATATTCTGCCAACCTTTCAGCCCTGAGCTTCCTTGCTCTAGCCATTAACAAAACGCAGCTGCATTATGTTGGGCGTCATGTCCCCTTCTGTCGCCGTGCCTGCAGTCCCTATGACTGTCCCCAGCACGGGCATAAAACACACATAGCAGTGTGCAGCCTCCCTGGCGCACCCGCAGCGTCCCCTGAAGCGAGGACACGTCACCAGGTGGCGCTGTCAAATCAGGAGTGAGGCTGTCCTCGGCAGCAACACGGCTCTGCAATTCAGACTTGGGACTCCGCAGCCGCAATCAGTACAGGGCCAATAATTAATTGCGGGGCTGGTGCTGGGACCCCAGGGTGTCAGTCTTGGCCTACTGGCACCGACTTGCTCTCTAACGCTGAGTAAGTCAGCTCATTCCTTTGTGCATCACTGCGCTGTTCTGTGCAAAGAGCATAACTGGTGCTATACCAAGCCAGAAGGGACATGACAGACTTGCGAAGGCATGTTAGAGATCATGCCTGAACCGCCTGTGCACACGTGTGACTTGGGGAGGTCATGTTCTGCCACACTGCAAGGCACTGGCTATATTGTATTAGTTCACGTGGTTAAAGCTGTTGGGTTTAGCAGCAGTTAAGTGGTGTGCATGTCCTCAGGGTTCATGTGAGATGCATGTTCTGGTGGTGACAATGAAGGGATGTTCTCCTTTTGGTGATGTTTTGGGTTTGGGAGGTGAGGGTGACGACTGACTTGTGCACTGCTGCAGGATAGCTTGGCAACGCCTGCCCTGCATCAGCTGCTGAGCAGGGACAGCTCTAGGATGGGGCTGAGCACAGTCCCTTGGGGATGCACACTCACCTTCCTTCCATCACAGCCTGGGGATATAAGCTGGTCACTATGCCATACCCCAAACTAACATGGGGAAGGAGCAGCCATGAGCCTTAAAACATCTGCTTGACCTAGTGGTGCTAGGCAGAAGGAGTTCTGTGAGACCCTGGGGAGGTGTTGCTCTGTTCACAAATTCAAACCTATTTGTGGTGCTAAGTCCGAGAGATGAAAAGAGCATTAGGGATGAGCTGGTGTGGCTGTCACACACACGAAAGACTCAAAAGTCCTCATGAAAAGGTTGTAACTGTCAAAAAAGTACATTTTCCAGTTGGAAATTGAACAGATGTCCATACACAGAGACTGATGCAGCTCTGCTGATGCCTGTTCAGCTCTGAACTGACCTCACTGGGGCTGTTCTGGTTTCTGCTGGGAAAGGACCAAGGTTGTGAGCAGAAACAGGCCAACACGGTTACTCTGGGAGTGTACAGAGCAATTTCCATGGAGTCTCTCCCCAAGAGGTCTGGCAGGATGGAGCTCCACTCAGCCTAACCTGCAGGAAAGAAAAAAGAGGCTTTAAAAATAGGTGGACACACGAGTACAGACCAGGAGAGCTGCTCCCTGTGAAGAGATCTCAGAGAAGAGTGCAGAGTGGCTGGACCCTATTTATACGTAGATAAGGGTAGGGTTGCAACACCAGACACGTCAGAAGGGCCTCACTCCCCCCGGTCTGAGTCCAAATTACCTGCGTCCTGCATTTACTGTGGGGGTGGTGAGGCACTGGAATGGGTTGCCTAAGGAAGCTGTGAATGCTCCATCCATGGCTGTGTCCAAGGCCAGGTTGGACAGAGCCTTGGGTGACATGGTTTAGTGTGAGGTGTCCCTGCCCATGGCAGGGGGGTTGGAACTAGATGATCTTAAGGTCCTTTCCAACCCTAACTATTCTATGATTCTATGATCCCCTAGCATGGGGAGCAGCCCACCCTTCGCAGACCTGAGGCTGCCTCTGCCAGGGCAGAGCATCACACTTCTGGGGTGGCAGAGGGGATGGGTCTGGGTTTCTTATCCTTGCCTAACATAAACCAGTATGGCAAAGTCCAAGGCTGACTGATCACAGGGTCAGCCTCACTGCCTGCAGTCACTGGCTGCTTGCAGCCTCCCCAGGCAGGCCAACCTGTCCTTTTTGGGGCGGGAGGGATGGTGGGGCTATTTCCCCCACAGCTCCAGTTGGTACCCACCAACCCATGGCAACCCTGAATACCTCGACATTACTTTTGGTCTCAGCTGATGGTCTAAAATCCTTGCAAGCTGAAAAGCCCCAGCACAAGGGAGTGGTGCAAGCACCTTGCTGCACAAACCCGCTCTCTGTCTAGCATAGGTATTACATGCTCAAAGTGATCTTTCGGGGAAAGATTGTTTGTTTTGTTTTGTTTCTCTCCATACAGCCTCAGCCTGTTCTCATATAAACAGTTCAGGACACCTCAAAGACTGTTAGCAATGGGTGTATTACTTTTTGGCCCATAGCACGTTAAAATTTAAAGTTTTTAAGGAATTGTCTGAGGTTTCAGGTATCACAGTTCAACTTTAAATATGAATTCCTTTCTTGAACATACTAGAATTATTTTTAATGTATGATTTTCATGCTCAGTCCCCTGGGTGTGTAGACTTGTTTGCTTAGCAAGGACATCTCTGGTATTTCCTTATATTAATTAGAGGCATTTTTGAGCCTATTGCCATCTGTCTGTAGTTTCCTTGCTTGGGGCAGACCATGAAGGCTCGGCTCTGACCTGTTACACCTGACAGCCCCTGCAGCATGCTCTGTGTTTGCCTCCCTCTTCTCCAGCCAAGGCAAAATCACTTGTGTAACCTTACATCAGTGTCCGGGTGTGTTGACTTTACAGGTCCAGGTTAAATATGTGTTGAGGCAGGATGGGGACCTAGTTCAGTCATAAGGAAGGGATATGGACAACAGCACTTTGCAGTTCTGTTTTATAATTTACAATGTTGGGCTTGGATCCTACCACTTAATCCACTTGGGCAGCAATGTGAGGATTTCTGCACTCTCACTTACAGAGCTGTGAAGTATACTGGGCTGAAATTATCTGCCAGCCCCAGCTAACATGGCCCTGACCTAGCTGGGAGTGCATTTAGCAGTGTGAACAGCACTAATAAAAACAGACAGAAAAACCCAACAAAAACAACCCTGCACACTGTGACTGACTTCCAACTGCAGGGAAAGACATGTGCTGAGTGCTCCCTGGGATATTCTCCACCCTTGTACAGAGCAAACTGAGCCAAGCAATTTCTAGGTCTCAAATCCCGCCTGCCCCGGACGTTCTCATCTTCCAGCTTCCCCGGTTGCTTTTGAAGGCAAGCACGTGCTTCCCGGTGGCAGACCCTGCTCACCGAAGACGCTCAGCCTCTGTACAAGGTCTGCACGTGTGCAGGGCAGAGCCAGCAAGAGGTAAGTGCTGCCTGCTAGAGTTGCTGCCAAAACAGCTTGAAGCTGGCAGCCGCAATGCCCCTCCTGTAAAGAGCCCTCCTGGGGGAGGCAAGGGAGGGGGACTGCTGCAGGATGAAGCAATGCCATGGTTTCCTGTGAGGGGTAGCAAAGTGGGCATCCAGCACAGTGACCGTCACCAAGGTGGCTGAGAAAGGGGTCAAGAGGGAGGTGCAAGCAATGGGAGAGGAGGAGGCTGGGCAAGGCTTTCCTGGTTGAGGCCCCTGTTCCCTAAATGTGTCATGGGTGCTGAGCTGCATGGGGAGGGAGCTTTTTTTGTTTTCTTTGCATATGCTTCTGCGTGGTTTTATTTATTAATTTTATTTCTTCAATTGCCCTTCTATGCAGCCCAGGTAACCTGCTCTGCCTCCAAAAGCCCCCAGGGTCACCAGACCTCAGCTACCCTTGACCCGGGCAGCATCTTCAAAGAGACCATGAGCCTGCTACGGAGTGTGCAATGTTTGTTCTCTTATCGGGCAAGCAGCTACCGCCTCCCCGACTTGGGGGGTTTCGTCAGCCTCCTGAAGCGCTCCAGGGGACACCCATCAGCTGCCGCTGTTTGCACAAGGTCAGTCCCCCCTCACCTCCCCGGTGCATATTTCCCCAGCCCATGGTGAGCTCCCTGTCCTCAGTTAGTGACTGCTGTTCCAGTCTTACCTGGGCAACTTGTAAATGAAGCGCCTGCTTGTCTTGATGAGGCATTAGGTTTATTTTTCCAGCCCTTGCTGGTAAAAGGGTAAAAGGGGCTGCATCTTTAGTATCTCTAGCCCCATGAGCTCACTTCAGAGCTGAGGTCACAGTAGCAGTGGGCACACTGGGATGGGTCCAAGCAGAGGCAACTGTGCTCACCAGTAAGTAGAGATGGAGGTGGTGCAGCATCAGGACATCCAGCCTATGTCTTTATGCAGGCCCTTGAAACCCAAAGTGCTTTCCCAGATGTGCCTGAAAATGGTGTATCTGAATTCAGGAACGTCTTAGCTGTTGGGCATGGGGAGAGGAGAGATGCTGAAGATGTCCCTGCTGACCTTTAAAGGTCCCTTCCAACCCAAAATATTCTATGATTCTATGATCCTGTGCTCATCCCTCCTTCCAGCTGTGTCATTGCTGGTAGCAGGGCCATTTTGGGTGCATCACACTTCCTCCTGCGATCTAACCAGTCACAACAAAATGGACCATTCCTCCTTCTTGTGACATCTCTATTTAAAAAAAAAAAAAAAAAAGAAGAAAATTCAGTCATTTCTGTTTGAGATTTTTTTGTTTGATTTGGTTGTTTGGTCTTTTTTTTTTGTTAGTGCTGCTGAAAAGCAAATGGGTACCTGGGCTTTGCAGAACAGATCCACAATCTGATCCCAGAGTTGACAAGCTCTTCAGCTGCAGGGTCTGGCCACCCTTTGAGATGGCCCCAGGGTGCTGGGAAAGAGTCCTAGCACTGCAGCAGCAAAACCAGCAGCCACATGCCCCAAGGCCTGAGCCACAGGGAAGTTTAGTATCCTGCCTTTTGATGCTGAATTGCATCCTGTCCTCCTCATGGTGTGACATTTCTGCATTTTAAGGTATTCCCAAATTTATGAGGCTACACTTTTGGGGTGGTAGGGGCAGGGGGGGTGGGTGCAAGGCAGCCAGGGCTGCCCAGGGGGAATATGAGGTCAGGGATGGGGGGGGTCACATGGACAGGGACAGACATGGACAGCAGCCCCAGCAAGGCACAGCACATGACCCCTTGCTGCTTGGCTCCTGGCTGGGGTTGGAAAAAGAGATGCTGGGGTAGTAATGGACTGGGCACACGTAAGAGCAGGCACATCTCATGCCAACTGTGAGAGACTCAACAGTCCTGGTCCCCAGACCTCTCCTGGAGAGACCAGAGACCTCTGTTCCAGCTGTGTGATGTCCCTTCCGTGTTTGCATTGCTGCCTTGGAGGCAGAAGCCTGGCCAGTCCAGCCCTGACCCACGCACGCAGCTCACCAGGTGCTTTCCAACCCTGGCGATTGTCGCAGGATATAAACTGTGCCGGAGGGAAGTGCCGGGGCAGGCGAATAAAGGTGTTCCCACGAATTAATAGGAGGAAGAAAGAAAAAACGTGAGCCAGTTTGGGCTCGCCCCTGGAGCGGCGCATTGTCTCTGGCCGGCTCGCTGCGTGTTTAGAGCGGGGCCCTTTGAAGGCTGATTTAAGTCCACTGCTGGGAGGTGTCACCTGTTGGCACCGTGCCTTCCACAGCTCCCCGATGAGGTTTTTGTCTCGTTGAACGCTGGCGACAATAAGGGTCACTGGAGCACGCAGCTGGCAGAAGGCACAGGCTGAGCCGTATTTCCCAAAAAAACCCGACAGCCCGGAGAGGAGGTGGGGACGGCAGGCGGTAAACAAGCTGCCGGGAGCCCTGCGAGCCGGCAAGGGTACGTTTCTTCCCCGCCGGCCTCCCGGGAGAGGGCGCTGGCCCCGCAGCGGCGGCGCCCGGCTTTTCTCCGCTGGCTCGTAAACACGTACAGGGAGAGGGCAGGGGCCTGCCACCAAACCTCCCCCGGGGCAGGGAGCCACATGCTCCCACCCCAACCAGAAAAGTCTTGCGCACGCTGCGGGGCCCTCCCAGGCAGTGGCTTGATGGCCGGAATGTATTTATCGGATGGAGAGGAGATGTTTACATTGCAAAGCTGTCTCTGCCTCTTTGCTTCTCCTCGGGGTGTTTCGGAGCTCAGCAAGTGAAAAGAGAAGCTGTCCAGCCCTAAGGCTCAGAGGGTCACCCTGCACTGCAGGGATTTCCACCTGGGAACGCCCTGGGCTTGTTAACTGGTGCCAAAGTTTCTGGGAAATTTGCAGCTACCAAGTACATTTCTAAGAATCTGGAGCTATTGGAACTGTCAGTGTACTGATTAAACAAACTCTCTCAGCAAACCTGGGGAAAAGGGCTGGGAACAACTTTACACTGTGGCTTGACAGCCCCCTTTTATGGGAGCTATTTTGGATCTCTCCTGGCCTGACTGGGTCTCAGCACCAGCTCCTCTCTCCTTTTGCATCAGCTGAGCTGCTGAATTCAGGTAACCACATTCAGGTAACCTGGCCTGACAGTAAGATCCCGAGCTAATTTCTATGGGTAAAACATAGCATTTGTTTCTGGATTGACATCTTTATACATAGGAGGTTCTGGGGGCAGGAAGTTTCTGTCATGCTTGGTAGCTCTGCCTTGTCCAGTCAATGCAGGGAGGTGAAAAGCACTTTATCTGGGTTCTGGACAGCCTCGGGGGATTAACACATGCTGCGGCTGATCCAAGGTGCTGTTAAAGAATAAGAGGGGTTGTCCCCAGAGGGAGGGTGCAGACCTGGTTCTTGAGATGGGCAATAAATCAAGGTGAAGCTTTAGCCAGCACTTCCACCTCCTCCTGGCTGAGGATCCAGTGCTACCTGTCCACTTTTCTCCCAGACCCTGGCTGTTGAGAGGCTGTGTCTTCAGTAAGGTGATTCTGGCAGGAGGGTCCAGCTCCAGTGCTCCAGTTTGAGTGCCAACCCCCGAGGCTGGCATGGGGCAGCCCAGCATCCTGTCACCCCGAGGCAGGTGTGTGGGTGGTACTTGGCCTGTTACCTGTGTGTGCATGTAGGTATGTGCCCATGGGTGACAGCTCATTCTGCTAGTGTTGGCATTGCTCTTCCCCCACCGATTGGGCCAGGGTTGGGAGGTGCAAAGAGCTGAACAGGAGCGGGGTGGGACAGCAAGAGCAAGCTGCTGGGGTGGAAAAATACTGGGCAGTGCCTGCAGTTTGCAGGATGCCCCCTGCCACCTGGGTGCCTCTGTAGTGGGTGCTCCTGCACCCACGGTGGGGCTTGCAGATTTCTTCTCCCTTGTGTGACAGGGACCAATCCTGTTTCCTGGAGCGAGGGTCTTAGCTCGGATCCAGAGGATTCAGGTGCTGGAGCCTGTTACTTACTCCAAGGGGCAAGGGGTGATTGCGAGGGCACTGCCTGTTCCCCCACCCCCAAAAATTATGCACCAAGCCTGGGCCAGGGGTTAGAGGGGGCTCCAGTTCCTCCCCCTCTTTCTTCCCCGCTGCCCTGTTTACCGTCGGCGGCTGATTTCCATCCCTAAGAGTTATGCAAAGGCAGCTGCTAATGTAAACCCCGCGGAAAGCCCTGGACCTACTCCCGCCGCCGCTTTCTCAAACCTCTGTGAGATGAGGGGTTATTTTTGGGGCCGAGAGGACCGCAGAGGACCCAACGCTCCACCCTCCTCCTCCTCTCCCCGTGCGGGGCGAAGCGAGAGGCTCTCCCATTCTCCCGGGGTCGAGGGGGCATGGCTCAGCCCCGCCGCCGCCGCAGGAGGAGGAGGAGAGGGGCGGGGTGGCGGCCCCTCGTCCACCCGGCCAGGCCGCCGCTGCCGCTGCCCAATCAGTGCGGCGGGGCCGGCGCTGTGGCGCCATAAAGCGGCGGCGGCGGGTGCGGCCCTGTGAGCTGAGCGTGGGAGAGTCGCGCCCGCTGCCGTGGAGCGCAGGTAACGGCTCCGCGGGGTGGGAGGGGGCCGCCCGACAGCGCCTTCCCTGCTATAGCCCCTCGGGGGGGGGGGGGGGGGGTTGGTAGCGCCGCTTTGTGCCGCGCTGCCGGCGGGCAGAGCTTTGAGGGGAATGCTCCTGTTTGTGTGTGTGTGTGTGTGTGTGTGTGTGTGTGGGAAGAGGCAGCTCGAGTTTTCTCTTGAGAACAGATGCTTTTCGCAGGTTTCTGTTTTCACGAGGGTACTGAGCTGCTTGCGTAAATTGCCTCCCTGTCGGGGAACGAACGTGTGGGTGACGCTGCTCGCAGGGGAGTAGGGCTTTTGGGGACCTTCCCCGGGCGGGCAGCGAGCGCCACCGTAGCAGGGTGGGCTGGCCCGGGCAGCCGAGCCTCCCTGCAGAGATGTGCCTACGTATTGGAGTGACTTTTCAAGTCATTTCACATTTACAAGTCGATGGCATTTCTAAGCTCTTGCAGACACTGCTGCTTTGGTCCTGACACGCATGAGCTGGCTGTCCCCGGGATCCCCGCTCCAGGCTGTGCCGGACTTCCAGAGATGCAGCAGTTCTCGATGTGTGGGATCAGAGCCCCTTCAGTCTCCTTCCCCATCGCTGCCTGGAGGCTGCTGCCTGGGTTGTTCAGAGGTTGCTTGCGCTGCCTGTTGCTTGTATTTGCGCTTCCTCCTTTTTTCTAGACGAGGCTTGTTTAACTTTAGGCCAGCTGATCTGAGAAAGCAGCTGGGGCTGGCAGGTCCTCCTCACCGAATGTTAAGAAAGCTCCAGCTAAGCTTTCCTGTTCAGTAGCCTGGCTTTGGAGCCTGATGAGTGTGGAGGTGAAAAGTTCACACAGGGCTGAGGAGCGCTTTTGAAGGCTGTGAACTTGGTAGATAAGTGATACTAGTTTATTTTAGTTATAAGAGTTTGAGTATTAATGGTACTCTGAAGGCATCACTTCTGGAGCAGGGCTCTCCTAGCTGCTTGCATCTCTCTGGGCTGCTGTTTTCTGTCTGCAGAATGGCATGGAACTGCTGGATATGGCAGTGAGCCCTGTGGCCAAGCTGTCTCGTGATCCTCCCTGGCTGGAGGATCAAAAGTCTGGGAGGATAGGGAAGGGCTCACCTTTGGGGTTGTGTTTTGTATCGTCCCTGCAGGAACCCCCTCATCCAGACCACAACCATGGCCACCTCGGCAAGCTCCCAACTCAGCAAAGCCATTAAGCATATGTACATGAAGCTGCCGCAGGGAGAGAAGGTCCAAGCCATGTACATCTGGATTGATGGGACAGGGGAGCACCTCCGCTGCAAAACCCGCACGCTGGACCATGAGCCCAAGAGCCTTGAAGGTGAGAGGGCAGGTGCAGGATTCAGTCTCTTGCTGCATGGAGAAAGCAGCTGTGCTTGGCTGTTCCAGAGAAGGGTTGCCATTTTCCTCTTTTCATGGTGGAAGAATGGTACTTGAAGAAAACATTGCTCCTCACCCCCATCCAGTTACCTCTTTCTCCAGATCGCCCAGGGGAATGTTCCCAGCTCTCCAGATGTGGCATTTCAGTGAGATGCCTGGGACTGGGAGCCAGCCCCTGGCACTGTCCTGCTGTGGAGGGGGCTGCTGGCAGGGGCTCGGCGGCTCATTGACTCTTGAGTACTCGTTTTGGCCGGAAGTAGTTTGGCAGAAGAAAGTGGAGGGGAAAGAATGGAGCTATCCGGTGTAATTAAGAGCTTGTGTCCCTCAGAACAAACAGTCCCAGCTTACACAATAATAGCATTAGGATTTTCCCCAGGTTGCCATGGTGCTGGCAGGAGACGGTTATGAAATGAAAATGCTGTGTGTGACTGAGCAGAACTATCTTTTTTCTTTTTTTTTTTTCCTTCTTTTTTTCCCTTTCTCTTCTCTCCCCTTCTCCCTCTAAGGGAGTGGTTGGCACAGCTCCTTTGAAATCTTTGTGTTTCCCATCCTCCCACTTTCCCCCTAGGGTATGGAGGAGATAACATTGCCTAGTGGAGTTCACTGCCCCTGCTGTGCTTTGACCTGGAGGGCAGTGCCCAGCCTGGATGGATGGCTGAAGGGGAAAGCTGGCCATAGTTCTGCTTCATATGAGATTCCACCTACATGTGATTTGCTGTCCCACATTCTCCAGACCATGCAGCATGAATACGGGATATTTAATGGCTCCTCTCCTTCATACAGCTTGAACATGTCTTATGCTCTGACCTTTTCCAGCTTGCCCAGCTACCTCTGTGAGGAGACTGGGTATTCTGCTCATCCCCATGGTTATTGTGACATGGGAAACATTCTCAGTGCTGCTCGGTTTGCTTGAGTTTGGCCAGCAGCCCAGCTCATCGTGTTTTCCTGGGTGGCTGGGAAGTTGCACTCCCTTGTTTTTCTCTTGTTTTGGTGTTCCATGTTTTTGTGAGTTGATTGTTGGTTTGTTTTGCTTCCCCCCTTTGGAACTAAAATAGCTGAGCTGGGATTAAACCTATCATAGGCCTGTTCCCTATAAACATCTTCACCCTTGTACTACTGAAGGGCAGCAGGGGGACCATCCTCTTGGTGCCTGGGGACCTTAGGTCACTGTGGCTTCTTCTCTGCTCCAGATCTCCCTGAGTGGAATTTTGATGGCTCCAGCACCTTCCAGGCTGAAGGCTCCAACAGTGACATGTACCTGCGACCTGCTGCCATGTTTCGGGACCCTTTTCGCAAGGATCCAAATAAACTAGTTCTCTGTGAGGTCTTCAAGTACAACCGGCAGTCTGCAGGTGAATGGACCTTTTTCTGCTGGAGGTGGTGTTTCTGGGAAGGGGAGAGGGAGACATGCCCAAATGTTGATCATGTCCTTAGTGTTATGCATGACACAGTAATAATCCCTGCCCTGAAGGTAAAAGGCAAATGAAGTGATGGTGGTGGAGAAAGGGCTGGCCGTGGGATTCTTCACTGATATTGCTGGGAGTCAGACTGCGAACATTGTGGAAATGGGGATTGGAGGTGAAAATGCTAATAAGGCTTATGTTGCTTTTTCATTCTAGAGTCAAATCTCCGACACACCTGCAGACGAATTATGGATATGGTATCCAACCAGCATCCCTGGTTTGGGATGGAGCAAGAGTACACTCTTCTGGGGACAGATGGACATCCATTTGGATGGCCTTCCAATGGCTTCCCTGGACCCCAAGGTAATCTTCATGGAGTCTGCGCTGGATCAACTCAGGAGTGCTTGAATTCTAATCAGTACAACATGGCTTAAGTGGTTCAGGCAAACTGAAAGATTTGTAGGGGTTTCCTGAGCTGAAGATGGACAATAGCAAGCAGGATATTAGCAAAAACTAAACCATGAGATTAAGATTGTTACGGAAAAGCTAAGATGGTGACTGTCCACAACCAGATTTGCTGCTTGGTTTGATAGTCTGCAGGTGACTTAAACTCATGTCCAGCACTACAGAGCACAAGCCCAGACTCTCAGAGGGACTTGCTCTCATCAGTGCTCTGCTTTATTAGTGCTTCCATGAAAAACCGATTTTGGGACTTTTCTACGCATCTGAAGCATTTGGAGAGTTCTTCTCTCTGTCCTCAGTCTTCACTGAATTTAAGCCTTTTTCTTTCTAGAAACTCACTTTCCCCTTGCTGTTCACCTGTGCTGTTGCAGGTCCATACTACTGTGGTGTAGGGGCAGATAAAGCCTATGGCAGAGACATTGTGGAGGCCCACTACCGAGCGTGCCTTTATGCTGGTGTTAAAATTGGAGGAACCAATGCAGAAGTGATGCCAGCCCAGGTAAATTGTTTCAAATGCCTCAAATAATGAACTAGTACAGAAAAAATCCAGGCAGCAGATTGCTGCGTGCTCCGATTTGTTTTGTTCTATCAATGATCGGAGCATAAGGGGATGGGAAATGCCTTACAGCAAGTGGCTGCACCACTAAGTCTGTGACTCCTCCTCCTTGTAGTGGGAGTTCCAGGTGGGACCATGTGAAGGGATTGAGATGGGGGATCACCTCTGGATTGCACGCTTCATCCTCCATCGGGTGTGTGAAGACTTCGGTGTTGTTGTGTCTTTCGATCCCAAACCCATCCCTGGGAACTGGAACGGTGCTGGCTGTCATACCAACTTCAGCACCAAGAGCATGAGGGAAGAAGGAGGTCTCAAGTAAGTGTTTTGAGCTGGGCTGGTAGCATCTCTTCACTAGGCTTCAGGCTGGACTTGGTTGCTAGCAGTGAGCTTTTTGCAGAGCTTTTGATGACATGGGAGATGTCAGTTTGGCATGTTTGAGACTTCCTTCTGGATGCTTGTTTTTTGGTGGGTTGTTTCAAGTTTTTTTGTGGGTTTTGTGTGCTTCTGACAGAAGCACAGGTGGCCAGGGTGCAGCTGTTCATAACAGGCTGTCCAGTTCTTGATCTGCCAGTGCTGGGAGCAGACAAAAAAATAAACTCGGCATAGTTTGGTGGGTTTTTTTGTTTGTTTGATTTTTAGTTGGTTTTTTTTTTCTTCCTCTTTTTAATAACCATGATGAAAAAGAAGGACCATTTGCTTCTGCCTGGACCAGGCTGTGGAAGCAAATGCTGTGTTTTCTTAAACATGAAGATCCTGGAAATGTAAAACCCGAGTTCCTGTATGAGACTGATGTACTGACAGCAGGCAGGGACCTTACAGCACTGGGTTGCAGTAGAGTTCTATGAAGGGATTACTTCTAGCAGCTGTTTTCTTGACTTAACCATAGTGATGTCTTGAGATAATGAGCCAGCCTGTGACCAGGTTGGCTTGTGAGCTTCCTGAATAGAAACTTACCTGTTAAGCAGTCTCTGCTCTGAGAGCAAGTTCTCCAGTGGCAGCGTGCCTTTGGGATTTAGCAAGGGATTGAGCTGGTCTTGTCTCACACACAGCACTACTGAAGGACCCTGTGGGATTTGGCCATGGGGATTCTTTTCCAAGAACCAGCCTGGGTCAGTGGTAGGAGTGGAGAGAAGCCCTGTGTTGAGGTTGTAGAGCTTAAGGCTTCATCATGAAATGGCTTGGGGACAGCAATGACTCTCTTGTCACTTTGACACAAGTCAAGTGGCTCAGTTGTACCATCCATCAGACACTCACTGTGTCTTCCCCTCTTCCTTGCTTCCTTTGCAGGTACATTGAAGAGGCCATTGAGAAGCTGAGCAAGCGTCACCAGTACCACATCCGTGCCTACGACCCCAAAGGGGGGCTCGACAATGCCAGGCGCCTGACTGGTTTCCACGAGACATCCAACATCCATGAGTTCTCCGCTGGCGTGGCCAATCGCGGTGCCAGCATCCGTATCCCCAGGAATGTGGGCCAGGAGAAGAAGGGCTACTTTGAGGACCGTCGACCCTCTGCCAACTGTGATCCTTACGCTGTGACAGAGGCCCTCATCCGCACATGTCTCCTCAACGAAACTGGAGATGAGCCTTTTGAGTACAAAAACTAAGCAGACTGCGCCCATAGGCATCACCTCCCCTCCACACTTCCCACTCCCCTAAACTTCCCTTCTAGGTGTAATCCCAAGGGTACAGGATAACACATTTTGTGTCTCAGTAACTCTTGTTGTCTTGAGGTAGGGAGGAGGGCAAATTTAGTTATATCAATTTCTGCTTGTCGTTGACTCTTCAGAAGACAAGGAGAGGATGTTAGAGAAGTTTTAACCACTGTTTTATTTTTTGTCTAATTCATGTGAACATCTTGCGAGATCCAGTGGCTTCCAGGAACAGACTACACAGGCAAAAAGCTGGTAGGTGAGTGGAAAGCTTAAAACTACAGTTGACTTCCCCAAGGATCAAATTTGGCTTGTTGCCTCCGCTGCTGGCTCTCTGCAGACTAATGGTTCTCTAAGGTTGGTTCCATTCTGTAGAGAAGGGAAGACAGGAGCTATGATGTAGCCCTATGTGCTCCTAGCTGTATTGTGTGATGGGGAGATCTTCACCCTCTAGTTGCTCTGAGGTTCCAGGTAATTGTCTGGCACATTGAGCTACGCACAGGAGTGGTTCTGTCACTGCAAGTCACCTGATCTCTGTCTCATAACACAGAGTGAAGTAGTATTTTTATATTTAAATATAAAAACGACAAAAAAATTATATATAAAGTGTTTCTTTAAAAAAATACAAAATAGATGGCTTACCCAGTTGGAGCAGGCAGAGCTGCTGTGGATGTGGTCAGAGGGCCACCAGGTGGGACTGAGGGTGAGATGAGTGGATGAGACTTGGATGAGATTTGTTTCGGCATGGATTGGAATTTGCAAGAGGTAGTTCCCAGACTCTGGAAGCCCGTAACTAGAGCAGCTGCAGTGTGCTCATTAGCGTGTAGATCAACAGGAGGAAAGTTGTCTTGAACTGAGAGCTGACCAGTCGACTGCATTCTGGTCAGAGCTGTGGATGTTTTACCTTTCCAGCAGGGTTAGCATGTCACTAAAGCAGGGCTTTTGATAAAGGAAAAAAAAAAGTTTCAGATACTACTTTTTTTTTTTTTTTTAATTTCCCAAGGTTCTTAGTTTCTAAAGCTGAGTGGTTTTACCGAGACCATTAATGTCACTGTTGTGTCTTGGCTGCTGGGCTGCCTGCTTTCCAGCTGTGATGGGGGCTAGGAGAAGAGAGAGGCCACCTGTCCCTCCTGGCCAGCCCAGGCACCTCCCAGCTTGTGCTGGTGAGTTCAGATGTCCCAGAATTTTACATTCGGGTATCTTAGATGGTGCCATTTCTATTCTGTTGCATTTGGATTTCTGCTGAATAGTTGTTAGTTTTTTTGGGGGTTGTTTTTTTTTTTTTTTTTACAATAAAAAACAAAATCTTAATTCTGACTTGTGCATCATTCTTGTGATTCAGCCTGGCAGCTGCCTTTGTATGCATGTTGCCTTCACTGTTTGAAGGGAATTTGACCCTGATAGTGGGTAGGCTTTGGCTTTCATTTGTGGGGTGGGTTTTTTGGGCAGTGGTCTTGCAATCTGTGTGTGCTCCCCAGAAAATGGGGTTTTGTAGGTGATGGTTGTTTCTCCAGCTGTGACTGGAGTGGGCTTTTCTTGGTGTGGGAAAGGGACTGAGCTTGTGACCATCCATAGAGAGGGTTATGGGATAAGTATGGGCGTTTGTGAATCTTTCCAGCCTCCTCCATACAAGTTCTACAGGATTTAGAAATCCCACAGAAAACAAAATTCCAGCAAACCACAAAAAAAAGGGTTTGTGGAAGAGGACCCTTTCCCGCTCTCCCTATGGAGAAAATGCTGCTCCATAAACAACATTGTGCTGCAAAAAAGACTTTCCAGATAATGAATAAAAAATATGTAAAAAGTTAAAATGAATTAGAAGGAGAAAGAACTCTTTAGACATTGTTTTCTGATTTTTCTTTTTTTTTTTTTTTTTTTGTCCCTAAAGCCTCCTGTTGAGTCTGCTTTGCAGTTACCTAAACACCATTTCCCAGCTATACAGGGTAGAGGGGCTCCCTCTTAAGGCTGTGGAACTCTTGCTAAATTGAGCCTGAAACCTTCAGAAACTAAATTTGCTGCTTATGTATTTATATAAAACATTTTTACTTTTAATCTTAGTTTTTCATGAGGAAGAGAATCTCCTTTTCCTGTTTAATCACACATCCTTAAAATGTGCACAATGGTATAGAAATGTTCACTGAATACAAGAAAATGCACATATTGGCCCCAAAGGGTTTGCTAGGCACATTGGAGCATGAGGAGCTGCTGTGAATGAAGGAGTCAAAAGTAGCACCAGCTTTTTGAAGTGCATGTTGGTTTTGTTCCCTTTCAACCAAACACCAGCTCAGGAGACAAGGCTGCTCCAAGACGATTAATATATCTGCTCACCAGACTTTTCCTCATAACTGAATTTTAAGGCAATCAAAATAAGATTAGCCACAGCTCCCTTCAAATATAGCCTGCAGCAAATGAGCTAATCAAGATCTTACTTGCAGCATCTTTTAACACTGAACTGTGCCAGCCCAATTACCATGAGGATATGAGGGCTTTACTCTTTCTGAAAAGCCGGATGAATCAGGTGTGTCTCCTTGGGTTTCTTCTACCTTTACACACTCCCAGAGTGCCCTGATGCTGCTCCAGTATCCATATACCACTTCCCTTTTTTTTTTTTTTTTTTCCCTTTTAATAATTTTTAGCACTATTTCATCTTTGTTGTAGATCAGCCTTTTCATCCTTACGCAAACTCCGGGTCTGACCACCTCTCTTCCTGAACACAGCTTCTAGAGGAGAAATCAGCTAGTGGTAGGTGGGTAAGGTTTTGCTGAGCTGTCTTCTGGATGCTGTTACCTGGCAGGGAAGAAAGGCACTTCTTGTTGCTAGAGAAAATAGTTTTTATTTCTCTACGTCTCTGTTTTTCTCTTTTCCTGGGATGTTGATATTGGCCCATGTGACTGTCCTGCATCTCTTTCTGCAGTGGAGGATGGGAAGGGTTTGGTCCCAGGAAGGGAGCCAGACACAGGCTACTGAAAGGGTGATTTGCATAGCTCTGCAAGAGACTCTGTTTATGTTTGAACCTCATGTTATGTGAGTAGTCCTACTTTGCTCTCTTGAAATGCCTCCTGGAGACAGCTCCTCCAATACAGTGTGCAGAAAAGTCGTGGCTGAGATCTGTACTCACTGTTCATCGGCATTAGTGTGGAGTCATAGAAGAGGAGCTGGAGGTCCTCTGGCCTTTTGAAGGAGGCCAGGGCATGCTCTGTAAAGGTGCTGTAGCCCAGCCCATGGTGAACAGGTCAAGTGTGGTGGGTTGGTAGTTTCTTGTGTGAGCCAGATGAGAAAGGCAGTAGAGCAGGAGGGGAATCCTGCTGTCATGGATATCAGTAATTTGGCTTCAGCTGAGCTGGGATTTCATGCCACTTGTACAGTTACTGATTAAACTGAGGACAGCTGCTTAGGAAACAAGTGGCAGCTCTTGAAAGGAGAAATCTCCTCAGGTCTGACCCTGCATCCCCAGCTGACTGAAAAAGCCAGACAGAGCTAGGGTGGCTCATGAGTAGGTCCTCCATGCACGAGTGGCTCTCCTGGCTCTGCTACTGGGACTGCCCATCTATGTGCAGTGTCTGGTTTCACTATGCTAGCTCTAAATTGAATCCTGACTCTTTGTTTGCTGATAAAGGGGCGAGTCCATCTGTAGAACTTGCAATATTGGAGACAAATAGCTTTTCCTGAGGTCATGTAGACTGTGTGGGACATCAGTCACTGAGTAATGACCCATCTGGAATTTTAAAGGTGTTTCTTATTAATTGCCTGGTTCATGAAGAAATGGTGATCTCAGTTTGTTCCTTGTGACTCTGCTATGAGCTAGTGCTGCGGGGTGTTTTGGGACTGTCCCCCTCTCTTGTGCAATGATCTTTGATGAGAACATACAGAGAAGAGCTCTGAGCAGACCCAACCCTGCTGCTCTCCACATTGAAGAGTTTCCAGGGTCTCCAGCCCCAGTGGGAGGAGACCAGTAACGAGTGGTGTCCCTCAGGGATTGGTGTTGGGACTGGTCTTGTTTAACATCTTCGTCGCTGACATGGACAGTGGGATTGAGTGCGCCCTCAGCAAGTTTGCCGATGACACCAAGCTGTGTGGTTCGGTTGATACGCTGGAGGGAAGGAATGCCATCCAGAGGGACCTTGACACACTTGTGAGGTGGGCTGATGCCAACCTCATGAAGTTTAACCATGCCAAGTGCAAGGTCCTACACCTGGTTTGGAGCAATCCCAGGCACAGCTATAGGTTGGGCAGAGAAGAGATTCAGAGCAGCCCTGTGGAGAAGGACTTGGGGGTGTTGGTTGATGAGAAAATGAACATGAGCCGGCTGCAGTGTGCGCTTGCAGCCCAGAAAGCCAACTGTATCCTGGGCTGCATCAAAAGGAGCATGACCAGCAGGTCGAAGGAGGTGATCCTGCCCCTCTACTCTGCTCTCGTGAGACCTCACCTGGAGTATTGTGTGCAGTTCTGGTGTCCTCAACATAAAAAGGACATGGAACTGTTGGAACAAGTCCAGAGGAGGGCCACGAGGATGATCAGGGGACTGGAGCACCTCCCGTATGAAGACAGGCTGAGGAAGTTGGGGCTGTTCAGCCTGGAGAAGAGAAGGCTGCGTGGAGACCTCATAGCAGCCTTCCAGTATCTGAAGGGGGCCTATAGGGATGCTGAGGAGGGACTCTTCATTAGAGACTGTAGTGATAGGACAAGGGGTAATGGGTTAAAACTTAAACAGGGGAAGTTTAGACTGGATATAAGGAGGAAATTCTTTCCTGTTAGGGTGGTGAGGCACTGGAATAGGTTGCCCAGGGAGGTTGTGAATGCTCCATCCCTGGCAGTGTTCAAGTCCAGGTTGGACGAGGCCTTGGGTGATATGGTTTAGTGTGAGGTGTCCCTGCCCATGGCAGGGGGGTTGGAACTTGATGATCTTAAGGTCCTTTCCAACCCTAACTATTCTATGATTCTACGATTCTATGATTCTAAGACCTCTTCCAGCTGCTGGAAGAAGAAATGAGATCTGGGGCTGGGTGCTTCTTGCGGGTTAGCCCCAGAAACTTGAAGTGGCCTTGTATGCAGAGCATACATAGGTTGACCTCAATGGGAACCTGCCTGGCTGTGGAGAAACCCAGGGTCAGCGGGGGAAATTAGGAGGAAAATCCATATTCTGTGGCTGCAGAATGAGCACTAGGGCTGCAGCTCTTCACAGTCCTGTAGGACTAGGCCCTTTGCCTCTCTTAAGCCTTCTCCCTCGATGCTCCTTTCCTCCTCCCTGGGTGAGATGGCGCAACACTGCTGCATGGGTAGCAGTGCAGGGGTGTAGCGAGGCCTTACCTCAGCCAAAATATTACTCTTTTTTCCTCTCTGTCCTAGTCTGCCCGCAGGCTGGCACGGCTGGGCTATTTGCTTTCATAAGCTGCGTTATGTAAGCCATGTCTTAAGTGGGAATGTGGTGCCAACTTGGACTCTGCAGGGGGAAGGAGCTGCATTCCTCTGCCGGTGGGTTTAATCCCTGCCTCCAGCCACAGTTTGTTTGCTGGGAGGAACAGAAGGGCTGTGCCAAGGTTTCTAATCCCTTGCCCCAGGTGGAGCCAGCTAGTTGCCACGGCAGCCCTGCTTTCCTTTGTGAACAGGTTATGCCCATGGCTCCTCTCAGCAAGCCCTTTCCTTGGCTGCTACGAGGGTTGCCCCAGACATGCACACCACGTCTTGAGAGGCCTTCCTCTCCTCCCCTTGTTTGTTGAACTCTCTGTGCTCTGTGGTTTGATTGCACTTTCTCAGAAAGGCTATTGGGGGAGAAAAATGGAAGTGGAGATTTCAACTATTCTAGCTTGAAAAACAGTGGCAAAGGTGGGTTGCCATGCTGGCATGGAAAGCAGGCAGGTTGCAGAGCCTGGGGAAGACCACATTTGTGCAAGCAGCTTCTCCATCTGTCCCACCACTGACTGCCCTCCAGAGTGCCACATCTGCAGGATGTGACCCTTCTCCACCCAGGACCTGGGGGAGCCCTGGAGATCCTGCACCCACAGGTCTCTGAGGCACCAGCCTGTCTGGGTGTAGGGTGCAGGACAGCAATGGCTGCTTGTCAGGGTATTTGTTGGCTCCCCATCAACCTGAGCCCACTGCCTGTAGCTCCTGAGCTCAGGATTGATGACCTTCAGGACCCAGTATGATTGGGCATGGGTTGTGTGGGTTCAGAAGGAAACTTGGGTTTTAGATGAAGCTGATAGCAGCAATGCCTTGATGTGTGTTTTTATGTCCTGTGGGTGGATGAGATATTAGACTCCACAGTTTTTGCTGGCAGCTTTCCCCAGTGCCAAACACACTGTTAAAATGAAAATCATTAATAAGGTCCAGGTTTAGGCTGCTTTTTCTCATCACAAAGCTGGTGGCTCAAGCCCATCTGCGTTGCTCATGGAGATGCTGGGCAGCTGGCTGTATTGCCCAGCTACTTCTGGGCAATGAAGTCCTGAGATGATAGAGCTTGGCCAAGATGCCTAAAATACTGGGAAAGCAACTGAAAAGGATCCTCCTCTCCTACTGAGCTGAACCCATAGGATTCTGGAAAGCATGCTGGCCAGCAGGTATTTGGTAAAATGCTAGGACCAGCATTTCTGTCAACCACAAAATCAGTCTATTCAACATCTTCTCTGTTTTAAGGGGATCCTAAGTTCAAGCCACCAAGTTCAAGGTGGGAATAGCTCTGCTCAGGGCTATGTTGTCTGAATGCTGTTTCCATTTAGAAAGCTGCCTGGGAACAGCTGGGCTTAGAGATGGGCTTAGCCTG